CACACCCCCCACCGATCAGGGACCCAGATGGAGACCAGATGGGCCACCCACGCCGCCCACCGATCACGTACACGGATGGAGACCAGGTGGGCCACCCACACCGCCCACCGATCACGTACACAGATGGAGACCAGATGGGCCACCCACACCGCCCACCGATCGCATACGTGGGACGGAGACCAGATGGGCCACCCACGCTGCCCACCGATCACGTACACGGACGGAGACAAGATGGGCCACCCACGCCGCCCATCGATCACGTACACGGGACGGAGACCAGGTGGGCCACCCACACCGCCCACCGATCATGTACATGGATGGAGACCAGATGGGCCACCCACGCTGCCCATCGATCACGTACACGGGACGGAGACCAGGTGGGCCACCCACACCGCCCACCGATCATGTACATGGATGGAGACCAGATGGGCCACCCACGCTGCCCATCGATCACGTACACGGGACGGAGACCAGGTGGGCCACCCACACCGCCCACCGATCATGTACATGGATGGAGACCAGATGGGCCACCCACGCTGCCCATCGATCACGTACACGGGACGGAGACCAGGTGGGCCACCCACACCGCCCACCGATCATGTACATGGATGGAGACCAGATGGGCCACCCACGCTGCCCATCGATCACGTACACGGGACGGAGACCAGGTGGGCCACCCACACCGCCCACCGATCATGTACATGGATGGAGACCAGATGGGCCACCCACGCTGCCCATCGATCACGTACACGGGACGGAGACCAGGTGGGCCACCCACACCGCCCACCGATCATGTACATGGATGGAGACCAGATGGGCCACCCACGCTGCCCATCGATCACGTACACGGGACGGAGACCAGGTGGGCCACCCACACCGCCCACCGATCATGTACATGGATGGAGACCAGATGGGCCACCCACGCTGCCCATCGATCACGTACACGGGACGGAGACCAGGTGGGCCACCCACACCGCCCACCGATCATGTACATGGATGGAGACCAGATGGGCCACCCACGCTGCCCATCGATCACGTACACGGGACGGAGACCAGGTGGGCCACCCACACCGCCCACCGATCATGTACATGGATGGAGACCAGATGGGCCACCCACGCTGCCCATCGATCACGTACACGGGACGGAGACCAGGTGGGCCACCCACACCGCCCACCGATCATGTACATGGATGGAGACCAGATGGGCCACCCACGCTGCCCATCGATCACGTACACGGGACGGAGACCAGGTGGGCCACCCACACCGCCCACCGATCATGTACATGGATGGAGACCAGATGGGCCACCCACGCTGCCCATCGATCACGTACACGGGACGGAGACCAGGTGGGCCACCCACACCGCCCACCGATCATGTACATGGATGGAGACCAGATGGGCCACCCACGCTGCCCATCGATCACGTACACGGGACGGAGACCAGGTGGGCCACCCACACCGCCCACCGATCATGTACATGGATGGAGACCAGATGGGCCACCCACGCTGCCCATCGATCACGTACACGGGACGGAGACCAGGTGGGCCACCCACACCGCCCACCGATCATGTACATGGATGGAGACCAGATGGGCCACCCACGCTGCCCATCGATCACGTACACGGGACGGAGACCAGGTGGGCCACCCACACCGCCCACCGATCATGTACATGGATGGAGACCAGATGGGCCACCCACGCTGCCCATCGATCACGTACACGGGACGGAGACCAGGTGGGCCACCCACACCGCCCACCGATCATGTACATGGATGGAGACCAGATGGGCCACCCACGCTGCCCATCGATCACGTACACGGGACGGAGACCAGGTGGGCCACCCACACCGCCCACCGATCATGTACATGGATGGAGACCAGATGGGCCACCCACGCTGCCCATCGATCACGTACACGGGACGGAGACCAGGTGGGCCACCCACACCGCCCACCGATCATGTACATGGATGGAGACCAGATGGGCCACCCACGCTGCCCATCGATCACGTACACGGGACGGAGACCAGGTGGGCCACCCACACCGCCCACCGATCATGTACATGGATGGAGACCAGATGGGCCACCCACGCTGCCCATCGATCACGTACACGGGACGGAGACCAGGTGGGCCACCCACGCCGCCCACCGATCGCAAACGCGGGACGGAGACCAGGCACTTAAGGACTGGAGCAGGCTCTCGTTACCCTAACAGGAAATGACTGTGATGCAGCCTCTGCCATTTCAGCAAGCGGGCAGGCTGGGCCATACAGGACTCTTAGCTGCTTGGCTTCACTAGCCGGAAGCACCAGTGGCATCAAGAAACCCAAACGTGTGCCGAGCAAATCAAACCCCATTCACGACAGCTCGTACCCCACAATGGCAGCTCTTACTCTGCGTGACCTGGGTAGCGCTCTCTGAGCGTGTAAGTCCCAATACCTGGCGACTCCTCCCTCCCAGACCAGAAGAGCCTGGTGCAGGGAGAGGGCGCCTGGCCTGAGGGGTGGGTGTGCAGGGCTGCAGCCGTGACAAGCGGGCCGCACATCTCCCGGCGCCGTGTCTGTCCGTGTGCGTCCGTGGCTGTGGAGCACTTGTGTGTGGTTCAGAAACTGGACACGAGGCAGACACGCACGAGAAAGGCACCATGCCTGGTGCACTGCATGCACGGCAGCTGCGACGAAGTGGGTGAGTGGCTGAGACCCACTTCCTTCCTTACCTCTTGGCAAGCACCAATGTTCTGCAGGGCCGGCTCTCTGTCTTGCTTTTGTCCTTTTTACAAAATTATATCAGGCCAGTTAGGCGGCACAGTGGTTAAAGGCGCTGGACCCCACAGCGCTGACTGTGCGGTTCCAGTCCCAGACCCGGTGGTTTGAGGAAAGTGTGGGCTGCGAGTGCGCCAGACCCTGACTGGAGGATGGAGCAGAAGGGGCTGTGGTGTGGCCACCCCCGGGGGTGCATGCTCAACTCCCCGTCTCTCTCCCCACCAGGTGAGCACATGCACTTGACAGCAAATTAGAAATTAAAAAAAAAAATCACTGCAAGCATTTCCTCATGATCCCTGTATATTTTAAAGCTTCACTTTGAGGTAGGTCTAGTAATACCCCATGGAGTCGTCGGCAGCAGCCCACCTCGGGGGCCGTCTGAGTAGGGGCTGTTTGTTGTCATGACAACACAGAGGTCACGCTTCTCTCCGGCTAGGGTAACTGCACAGGACTGGCTGGGTCAGGAGGCGTGGTGAGCAAAGGCTCTGTGAAAAGCTGGGTCACTTTATACTCGGGGGCCACTCAGAACATGGACGCGCTCTCCTTCCGCAAGCGCAGGGGCTCCATGAACTGAACTTCACCACTCACCTTGACCACTGGCCGACGAGTCTGTGGTCTCGCCGACTAGAATCGGTTCCCACCGTAAGGAAACTGTGCAAGGGCAGCCCAGGCCCTTCTGTGGACCAGACTTAGAAGGGAGCCTGCGTGCGGCTGCCAGCAGGCGGTGGGTCTGACTTTTTGATAATCTATACGGGATGATGAGGGCCTTCTGCAAACATGCCTCGCCCTCGGCAGACCGAGGTTCTGTGGACCAGGGTGGGCCGGGAGCACGACCCTGGGCCTGTCAGGTCATCGTGTGACAAGCCTGACACAGTTAGCCCGGCTAGCAGAATCTGACGGTGCAGCCCACGGAATGGCCACCTGCCAGAGAGGATGATCTGCTGCAAGCTCTCAAAGGCAGGTGCCTCTCCTCTTCGAGGACAGGAAGGTAAAGGAAGCCTGCTTCTTTTGGCTGTTCTGTTTATCTTTTTTTTTTTTTTTTTAATAATTTTATTTAACTTATTTATTTATTTATTTATTTATTTATTTATTTATTTATTTATTTGTTTATTTAAATTTGACCAGAGAGGGACAGAGTGTATGTGTAGGGGGTGAGAAAGTAAGCTACCAGGTCCGGGACTCGAACTGTAGTTGACCATGTGGGAGACCAGTGCCCTTAACTACCATGCCACCTGCCAGCCCCAGTTCTTTTTTTTTGAAGAGGTTTTTACTATAGGGCATGTGTGCTCACCGGAAAGACAGAGATAGACAGAAAGCGAGAAATCACTCCCCCGGGGGATGGCCATCCCGCAATCCCTTCTCCTCCACTTTCCTGTCTGGATCTTGGGCACGCACACACACTAACCCAGTGTGAGTTTAAGCCACTGGGTCCAGGACTTGAACCGCAGTTGACTACATGGGAGTCCAGCGATGCAGCCATTACGCCAACTGCTGGTCCCATCTGTTTATCTGTTATTTTCAAAGCAGGGTCCCTGGAGAGGTCCCGGCTGGTGGAAGTGCGCTGCCATGCCTGGCCCTTTCCAGACAGTTGCTCTTGACAACCTCAGGCTCAGGACCCGCCCCCAACCTGAGCGGCTGGATCCCAGGCACTGTCACCACGCTGGCCTTTAGGCTGGACGAGAACAGACCGGGCCTCCTGTGGCCCAGCCTGTGGGGAGTGGGTGGCATGGCCAGCATGGGGGCCCCACAGACATGCTCCACGCACCTTCATGACGGGCTGGGCGAAGTACCGGGCGCTCCAGTCGCAGAAGCCTGTCTGCACGGTGGCGGAGATGAAGCTTTTGTGTCCAGCAGCATCGTCTGCGTCGTCCGCGGTCTGGGGTTCAGGCAGGAGGAGGGTGAGAGGAGGGGAACAGCAGGTGGCCACACAGCCCCGCACTCCCATGGGCCGAGGGTGCTCGTGCTCCTTCCCCACCTGTACCCCAGGGGCCCTGCTGGGGTAGGCCTGCGCCCAGGTGATGCAGTGATCCTGGCTGTACTTCTCCTGGCACAGGTGGGGGACGGCCCTGGAGCGACAGCGCCACCAAGGGTGGCTACCTGAGCCCGTGGCCACTTAACACCTGAGTGGGCGGAGCTGCCCACGAGGACGGTGCTTTGACTGTTTCCCGTGGGAAGTGCAGTGGCCGGTGGGCTGTCGGCGCTGTCTGCTTGTGCCAAGCCAGGTGCTCAGGGGCAGGCCTTCCCACTGCATCGGGGCAGAGAGGAGCTCCCTGTTGTCAGGGGGACCTGGCGAGACGGGGGCTTACGTCCCCCCAGAAGCAGCTGCCTTGGCTCTGGGGTGGAAGGGAGCCCCACCCCGCTGCAGGCTGTGCTGCCCATGGACCGTGGCCAGTGCCTGGCCCCTCCTGCTCAGCCTGCAATGATGTGGCCTCAGCCCCACCTCAGAGCCAGGCTGTGAGGCTGAACGGGCCTGGAGCTCATCGGCAATTCTGCTCTCAGATGTGGGGCACTACGGTCAGCCAGGCTGGCCTGAGTGGCATATGTGGACATCTGCCTGCCCCTGGCCGGGAGCCCCTTTAATCCCCGACATGTGATTCTTGCTCCAGGGTCAGCTGCAAGCTGGCAGTTTTTCTGTTTCATTTTTAAATTAATTAATTAGTTGTTTTAAGATCTGCTACAGGGTGCACATGCTCACCGGAGTCAGAGAGCAGGACAGAAAGCACCCTGCAGGGGCCATGGCCAGAATCCCTTCTCCTCCACTCTCCTCTGGATCTTGGGGACGCATGTGTGCCTAGCGTGTTTTTCTAGCTGCCACATCTGGGACTTGAAGTACTCAGTGCCTTAACCACCATGCCACCTGGCTGGCTCATTTTAAAATTCGTTAAAATTTTTTTTTTCTTTTCTTTTTTTTGGGAGAGGTTTTTGCCATAGGGCGCATGCGCTCGCCAGACAGACAGAGAGACAGAAAGCGAGAAATCACCCCCCATGGGGGATGGTCACGCCGCAATCCCTTCTCCTCCATTCTCCTCTGGGATCTTGGGCACGCACGCACACGTGCCTGGCGTGAGTTCTAAGCCACCCGGTCTGGGAGGTGAACTGCAGTTAACTACGTGGGAGTCCAGCGACATAGCCATTACGCTAACTGCTGGTCCCCGTTTAAAATTTTTTTTGAGGGCCGAGATTCTGTGCTTGTTTCAGGGTGGAGAGGGGAGAGAGAGCACCCCCAAGTGGGGGCTGGTCACGCCACAACCCCCTTCCCTCCACTTCTCCGTCCCGTCAGGATCCGGGATGCACATGCGCCTGGCACGCTTCTCAGGCCACTGGAGCTGGGACTTGAACTGTGGTCGGCTGAGGGGTCCTGCTGTGCCACCCCAGCCCTGCCTCCGGAAGGAGGGCCACCACACCCTCCCTCTGCAGGAGACGCTCACGCCCACCCGCGCCCATGGTGGCCAGGTGTCCAGGCACGTTCTGGAGGACCTCCCCTAACTGGGAAGGCAGTGATGGCACGGCTGGGTGCAGGCCCGGGTCAGCCTCCTCTCTCATGGCTCTGCAAACCCTGGCCAACGGAGCACCAGCTCCTCTTCCCACAAACGTCCTGCTCAGCTCAAAGGCACAGTGGACCACCTGGCCGTGAGAGGGAGAAGGAGTGCCCAGAGAGGACGGGCACCTGTCAGGACACTGCTGGGAGTGGGAGGGGGCGATCCGGGCGCGTCCTCGCTCCGTCGTGTGGAGTTGCCCAGACAGCGGAGCCAGCGGCCATGGCAGTACACAACTTAGCCCCATGGTCCGTGATGCTGGGGCAGCAGGGAAGGTTCCAGTTCGTGTCCCAAGACCTCCCTGTGTACAGGGCTTGGGCTGGTTGAGGCTGGGGTGGGGGTCAACATGAAGACCCCACGGGGTGCCTGGCTCTCTCGCCTCTCTCTTATTCTCTCACGAAGATAAAGAAACTTAGAAAGAACAGCAGGACAGTGAAGCAGACACCAGGCTGCAGCCCTGTGCATCCACGGAGACGGCTGTGCAGGGAGAAGCTGGTGAGAGCGAGGTCACGCCCGGCCCGTGGGCAGAGAGCACACCAAGAGCCTCCCCGCAGCAGAGGGGCCGGCCAGATCTGAGGGTCACCCCTCACGTCTGAGAGGCCAAGCAGTGGAGCCACCATGCCCGGCTCCTCAGACCGGGTTCACGGGTCGGCGTGTGCAAGGCGTCCTACCTGGTCTGGGCCCTTGTCGAACATCTTGCGTGTCCGGGGGAACTGATGGGAGTGCGGGGTGTACTGTGCCCCCACGGGGCCCGCAGTGCCTGGCCGGCCCGTAGGCAGGTCACGGCTGGCCGGCTGCTTGGCAGTTAACTACGTGGGAGTCCAGCGACATAGCCATTACGCTAACTGCTGGTCCCCGTTTAAAATTTTTTTTGAGGGCCGAGATTCTGTGCTTGTTTCAGGGTGGAGAGGGGAGAGAGAGCACCCCCAAGTGGGGGCTGGTCACGCCACAACCCCCTTCCCTCCACTTCTCCGTCCCGTCAGGATCCGGGATGCACATGCGCCTGGCACGCTTCTCAGGCCACTGGAGCTGGGACTTGAACTGTGGTCGGCTGAGGGGTCCTGCTGTGCCACCCCAGCCCTGCCTCCGGAAGGAGGGCCACCACACCCTCCCTCTGCAGGAGACGCTCACGCCCACCCGCGCCCATGGTGGCCAGGTGTCCAGGCACGTTCTGGAGGACCTCCCCTAACTGGGAAGGCAGTGATGGCACGGCTGGGTGCAGGCCCGGGTCAGCCTCCTCTCTCATGGCTCTGCAAACCCTGGCCAACGGAGCACCAGCTCCTCTTCCCACAAACGTCCTGCTCAGCTCAAAGGCACAGTGGACCACCTGGCCGTGAGAGGGAGAAGGAGTGCCCAGAGAGGACGGGCACCTGTCAGGACACTGCTGGGAGTGGGAGGGGGCGATCCGGGCGCGTCCTCGCTCCGTCGTGTGGAGTTGCCCAGACAGCGGAGCCAGCGGCCATGGCAGTACACAACTTAGCCCCATGGTCCGTGATGCTGGGGCAGCAGGGAAGGTTCCAGTTCGTGTCCCAAGACCTCCCTGTGTACAGGGCTTGGGCTGGTTGAGGCTGGGGTGGGGGTCAACATGAAGACCCCACGGGGTGCCTGGCTCTCTCGCCTCTCTCTTATTCTCTCACGAAGATAAAGAAACTTAGAAAGAACAGCAGGACAGTGAAGCAGACACCAGGCTGCAGCCCTGTGCATCCACGGAGACGGCTGTGCAGGGAGAAGCTGGTGAGAGCGAGGTCACGCCCGGCCCGTGGGCAGAGAGCACACCAAGAGCCTCCCCGCAGCAGAGGGGCCGGCCAGATCTGAGGGTCACCCCTCACGTCTGAGAGGCCAAGCAGTGGAGCCACCATGCCCGGCTCCTCAGACCGGGTTCACGGGTCGGCGTGTGCAAGGCGTCCTACCTGGTCTGGGCCCTTGTCGAACATCTTGCGTGTCCGGGGGAACTGATGGGAGTGCGGGGTGTACTGTGCCCCCACGGGGCCCGCAGTGCCTGGCCGGCCCGTAGGCAGGTCACGGCTGGCCGGCTGCTTGGTCCCGTCTCCCGTCAGGCTGGAGCTGCTGGTGCTGGACGCTGGGGGGGAGCCCCTGTGGGGAAGGATGGACAAGACGCCACGCACCACTGAGAGCCCCACCCGAGGCCAGACTCTGACGACTGCCAGGACCCCTCCTCCACCGGGCTGCTGGCACGGACAGCCCTGCTGCTCCCCTCGGCATGGAGAACCTCACGAGGCTCCTCAAGGCCACGGGACCAGGCCCGGGCGGCCCTGCTGTGATGCACGCCCTGGGATGGGGCAGGAGGAGCCTCTTGGATGAGGCAGGGAGAGGACGCGGGGGAGAGGAGGGCCAGGACTGGCGGCGGGAGCGTGGGCGGAGTGCGGCACTTACCCCACCTGCTGGATGTGCACGCCCTTGTTGGTCGGGCTGGCCGGGGCCGACTGGGTGAGAGACGAGGTGTCCAGGCTGCGCTGTGGCCGGGCGTTCACCGTGGCCTGAAGGGCAACGGGACAGAGGTGAGAGGTTGGGGCGCCAGTCTCTGCTCGGAGGTGGCCTCAGGCCGAGGACAACAAACGCCCCAGGGTGACCTGAAGACACCATGCTAGTCCTTTACTCTCTAGAACTCTCCAGAACCTGGGTGGAGTCGGCCTGGAACTGCTCTTCAGGAAGACAAATGCCCACTCCTGCCCGCTGCGCTGGCTTTGGTCCTTCTGGACCCTTCCCTCACCAGGGGCTATGAGTCTGCCATGAGACGATCTGGCCCCTGCTCTTTCAGGACCCAGGGTGGGGCTCCCCTCCCATGGGTGGCCTGGCAGGGGGAGGGGCTGGCTGGGGGCACCCCAGCACTTGGTGCCTGGCCAAGCAGCCGTCGGGATGCCAAGTCCCCGGAGCACAACCCCTCCTGCCTCCACGGTCCCTAAAGAGCTTGTGACCACTGGGAACCAGCAGTTAGCGTAATGGCTATGTCGCTGGACTCCCACATAGGCGACTACGGTTCGCATCCCGAACCCGGTGGCTTAAAACTCACGCCGGGCGCGTGTGCATGCGTGCCCAAGATCCCGAGAGGAGAATGGAGGAGAAGGGATTGCGGCGTGACCATCCCCCCTGGGGGGTGATTTCT